AATAATAGAATACTAGATAATATAATAACTGCAGTTTTTCCCAATCTAATGCCACTATGCAGTGCTCAGGGTCTCACTTCCTCTGGATTGATTCCTGATTCTAAATAATCATAATTACATGGGAACACTACAAACTAGCCATGTGAATAGTGCCTACACATGAACAGAAATGGAACTGCAAGATCATAAATTCTCTGGTTTAAAATTATCTTCTACTATCTTACATTACAGTAAAAGGCCAAATTTAGTACACCTGTAGCCCGGTTAGTTTTTGGGGTTAGAAGTGGAAGAGTTGCAAGACTTAACATTTATTCAGGTTTTCTCTATTTAAGAGTGGGTGAATTTTCAAAGGTTTGGGATAGAGTGGGTTAAGACTGTACATAGGATTTTTGCTTAATACATATCTATACTTTTTAACCAAGGATGCGGAAGATGACCCTGAGCGTTCTCATCAGATGACCATGCTGCGAAAACTCTGCTTGCCAATGATGTGCTTCCTCCTTCATACAGTCTTGTACAGCACTGGACAGTACCAGGAAGACTTAAGACTTGCTGACTTGATTGCTTCAGATCGGCACAAACTCTATCTGGTAATATACTCTTTGGATTTTTTTCTAATGCTCTGCTTTTCTCTAGAGTTAAGTGTTGTAGTTAACATTTCTTTACTTTCACCATAGTATTGAATAAAAAATTCCACAGATTACCGTCAAACTATTAAAAAGTATGAATAAGCTAGCTTTTTTTAGTTTTTATTAAAATATGGAATATAATTAAGCACTTGAATAATATAGGAAATTGGTAGGCTAACCACAAGAATGAATTTAATTACCATACTGGTTGTTATAGAATCCAGAGAACTAAGAAGCCAGATGAATACTTCATTAAAGTCGTTTTCTCTTTGGTAACCTGCTTTCCTGGCAAAGAAGTGAGGATGTTTTATCTCAAATTGTGGTTATGTTTGTATTTTTTTCCTGTCTTACAGGTGTTTTCCAAGGAGGAACTCCGGAAACTCTTACAGAAGTTGAGAGAGTCTTCCCTCATGCTTTTGGATCAAGGTCTTGATCCTCTTGGATATGAAATTCAGTCTTAATTGCATCATTCTAGGTAATATAAATAAAGTTAGTGATGCAAATGAATACAAGGTTTGGATCCCAGATTCTTGGCCTCCATGAAATATTTGGATTCAACCTCCAGTATTTTATATGGAAATATTTAAACATTTCATTGGCATTGGCGTACAGTAGCTTGGATTTCTTTTGTATATGTAAAATGAAGAATTGGATGGATGACACTTTGTATTTTTCTCAATAAAACTGTAAACAACAATTTAACTTGAAATAAGGTTTTTAATGCTTAAATGTAGGAAGTAAAGATCTATACCTGCCAAATTATGAAGTGGGCCTACAGTTGTATCAGGGAAGCATGATGGCAAAAAAAAAAAAAAAAAAGTAGCTAAAATCCACTCTTCTGAGATGGCAAAATGATGAAAAACAAGGAGAACGTTGAATTGCTTAATTCCCTTTTTCATGTCTTTTTACAAAAAGAAAAAGTGGCCCAACCTGTCAGAAGGTATAGTGTGGGGGGTGGGGGAAGGTCAAAATAGGCAAGGAAGTGGTGAGAGCACATCTCGTTGTTTTGAATGAATTCACATTGCTGGGGCTGAATGGATTACATCTCATGTTGCTAAAGGAACTGGTGGATGTGATCTCAGAACTAGTAAATATAATTGTGGAGTACAGAGGAAGTGCCAAAAGATTGGAACAACATTAGCTCTTCTCTAATCTTGACAAAAGTGGATTCAGAAAACTGCAAACCAATCAGCTTGACATCAACACCTGAGAAAATCCTTGAAAAGATAAGCAATGGGTCTCTAAGAAAGCACTTAGAAAGGAACAGAGTTGTTACTAGCAACCAGCATTAATTCGTTAGAAATAGGTGGTGCCAGACAAATCTTGCTGCTTGATGTAGCATACCTAGACTTCAGTGAGGCATTTTATATAGTTGACCATAGCTTCCTTCTTGATAAAACAGGAACATTGTGCAATATACGTTCTCACTGCCAGATGGATTCAGTTGAACACCTATACCAAATGTGTGGTCCTTAAAAGATCCATGTCTACATGGAGAGAGATACGGGGTACCTCAGGATTCTCTCCTGGGCCCAGCACTCTTCCAACATTTTTATAAATGATTTAGAGGGAGGGATAGAAGGGATGATCAGCAAACTTGGAGACAACACAAAGCTCAGAAGGGATTGCCTACACTTCAGAAGACATGCTTAAGGGTCAAAAGGATCTATTGATTTGAACACTGAGTGTTTTTCAACAAAATGCAATTCAATTTGATCTCTCTGAAGCTTTTGATACCATTGACCATGGTATCCTTCTGAACTGGCTCCAGGGGTTAGGAGTGGGAAGCACCATTTTGCAGTGGCTCTCCTACTTTCTCCATGGCTGGTTCCAGTCAGTGTTGGTGGGTGAGGAGAGGTTGAGCCCTAGGCCCTGCAGTGTGGGTACGTCAGGGCTTGGGTCTCTCCCCTCTCCTCTTTAACATCTAGATGAAACCGCTGGGTGAGGTCATCTGATGGCACGGGGTACAGTATCATCAGTACGCTGATGATACCCAGCTATACATCTCTACTCCTGGCTAGGCAGGTGATGCTGTTGCGGTGCTGTCTAGGTGCCTGGAGGCTGTAAGGGTCTGGATGGAGAGGAACTGACTTTGGCTTAACCCTGGCAAGATGGAGTGGCTCTGGGTTTGTGGCCCCCTAGTGCCTGGTGACTTGTCATCTTTGATGCTGGAAAGGGTTGCACTCCCTGGACTGAGCTGGTGTGCAATTTGGAGGTCCTCCTGGACTCATGGCTCCTGCTTGATGAGCAGGTGGAAGCCACGGCTAGGGGGTCCTTTGCACAGATCTGTCTTATATGCCAGTTGTGTCCTTTCCTGGACCCGGAGGCATTGTTCATGGTCACTCACACCTTAGTCCCTTCCCATTTGGATTACTGCAATGCACTGTACATGGGGCTGCCCTTGAAGACCGCTTGGAAGTTACGACTGGTCCAGAATGCAGTGGTGCGCATAGTATTGGGTATTCTTAGCTTTGCTCACGTTATATCACATTGCATGAGCTGCACTGGCTTCCAGTTTCCTTCCAGGTGCAATTCAAGGTGCTGGTTATCACCTTTAAAGCCGTACATGGCACGGGACCTAGTTTTTGTGGGACCGCCTCTCTAAGAATATTTGCCCATCCCACTAGATTGGATAGGGTAGGCACACTCCAGATTCCTTCCCTGAAATTCTGCCACCTAGTGGGACCTTGGAAGTGTGCCTTTTTCATGGCTGCCCCTGCCTTATGAAACACCCTCCTCACCCCAGCGATTCAGCAGGCCCCCACCCTTTTAGCCTTTCGGAGCGTCATCAAGACCTGGCTTTTTACCAAGGCACTGGGATAGAATAGAATACAAAGAATGGAATGAGGGTAATTGGAGCTTCCTGTGGGGCATCCTAAAAGGATGATTAAGGTGCAGGCTTTTTGTTTTTGTTTGTTTGATGGATATGTTTTGTAGTTACTGATTTTATTGCTGTTGTGAGCTGCCCAGAGTTGTTTAAGATGGGTGGCCATACAAGTCTTTTAAATAAATAGAAATAAATAAAATCAGATTTACAAGCTAGGTGATACCTAGTTCACCGGTAGTACTAGTGAGAAGGATCTAGGTGTCCGGGCAGACCACACATTTATCAAACCTTTTTTATGGCCTTTGGGCCAGAGAATAACCACACATTAAGCACGAGCCAATAGTGTGCTGCAGCTGCCAAAAGACCCAATTAAATCTTGGGTGGCATCAATAAAAGTATACTATCAAGATCATGGGAACTGATAGTTCTGCTCCACCCTGTACTCGTCAGACCTCACTTGCAATAACGTATCCATGTTTGGTTGCCACAATACAAAAAGGACACTAAGGAACTGGAAAGAGTGCAGAGAAAAGCAATAAAGATGGCTTGAAGGCTAAATCCTATGAAGAACAGTTAAAAGAACTGAGTATATTTAGTCTAAAGAAGAGAAGGCTAAGGTGAGACATGATAGCTATCTTCCAATATTTGGAGGGCTGTCACAGAGAAGAGGGTGTGAATTTGATCTCTGACTGCACAAGAGAACTAACAGGTGGAAGCTTTACACAGAGGTGCAAACTCAAACAAGGAATTTCCTGACCCTGAGAGCTATTAAGCAGCAGAACAGCTCCTGAAGTGGTGGGGCTCCCTCACTAGAGGTTTTCAAACTAATGTTGGACAGTCATGTAGTCTCAGATGGTCGGGGGATTCCTGCCCTAGGCAAGGGATAAGAAAACCTCCACGGTCCCCTCCAAACCTGTGATCCTCAGAAATTGCACAAATGTATTCATAAAGTCACCAGCAGTTGAACTTAAGGGCGTCTTTTTTTAAAAAAGTGGAACTGGAGGGGTCTTGCCTTTGTGCCGTGCCGCTGAAGTCATGGGGACGATTCTTTCCGGCTGTGTGCGCACAACTCCTTCAGTCACAAAAGGTGTGCCGATACAGCACAAGCGGAGATAGAAAAGCGGTTCGAAAATTGAGGCTTCTATTCCTGAAAGACACCCGCCTTCCTAAACGGCCGGTTCCCGCCTTTTCGGAGACCTTCGCTGCTGGTTTTACGGAGTCAGCGGCTCCGAAAACATCCTCTCTCCTCCCTCCTACGGGCGGACCTCTCTAACCCGGTGCCGTGTGGGACTGAACGCCGCATCATTCCCAAAGCACCCGTTTAAGCCGAAGCAGGCAACCGGTGTCCAGACCGGCCTGCGTTTGCCAGCAGCTCGCGCTGAGCCAGGTGACGGCAGTCAGTGCAACAATAGCCGGAGGCTCAGCGGGGCCGCCCGTGAGCCCGGGGAGGGCTGCCGGCCCAGAAAGGGAACTCTCCCCTCCCTGCGTGGACTTCTGCGAGGCGGGGCCGCCGCCTGCGGCACCGGAAGTTCCTGCACCGGAGCCACGTGGGCGGGCAAAGACGAGGCCGTGGCGGCAGTTGTGCCAGCTGTTTACCCGGGGGCGGTGGCTGCTCCTGCTGCTGCTCCCCAGGAGGTGGACGTGGAGCTGGGAAGGGGCTCGAGCATGGCGGGGTGGCTTCCGGAGCGGGGCCGGCTGGCGGTGGGGCTGCTGGTGAACTTGGCGGCGTCCATTTGCATCGTCTTCCTGAACAAGTGGCTGTACGTGCGAATGGGCTTCCCCAATCTCAGCCTCACGCTGGTGCACTTCGCCGTGACTTGGCTGGGGCTGTACGTGTGCCAGGCGCTGGGCGTGTTCGCCCCCAAAAGCCTGCGGCCGCGCCAGATCCTCTCCCTGGCGCTCAGCTTCTGCGGCTTCGTGGTCTTCACCAACCTCTCTCTGCAGAACAACACGGTCGGCACTTACCAGCTGGCCAAGGCCATGACCACGCCGGTCATCGTGCTCATCCAGAGCGTGGCCTACGGCAAGACCTTTGCCACCCGCATCAAGCTCACTCTGGTGAGAAGCAGGGCGGGCTTGAGGGGAGGGCAGGTGGGCAGAAGCCAAAGGGAGGGACTGCCCTCGCTTGCGCAGACTGAGGGCCCCCTCCCGAAGTACCTGCAGGCTTAGAGCGAGGAGAAATGTTGGAGCTGAAGTATTCCCAGAAAATTGTAGACCACGATTGGTTGATTGTGAAGGCTGGTTAAGGTAATCGATTCAGTTGCCTTCCCTGGCCAGATGCTCCTAGATGTGATAGAGTTCCCATAACTTATAGACAGCCTGGATGTGCTGAGTAGGGATTATGAAAACAAAGGACTGGTAAGGGCTTTGACTCAAAAGCTTTATAGAATGATAATTCGCCCTTTTCATTCTAAAATTGCAATATATTTATTAGATTCAATAAAACCAAAGATGTGCGTTTTTTTGAGTTTGTCAGGCAAGGTGTTATGAAAAGCCAGGAATGTAGTCTCTGCCAGCCTTCTGTCTTGTTCATGCTGGCTAGAGGCTGTAGAAATTTCAATCATTTGGAGACCACACCGTTTATGAAGGCTGTTTCAGTACTAAGAAATAATACTGGAATACTTGGGCTTAAACTGTTAATAACTTTGGGCTGACCCTATTAAATAAAATGAATGAGTAGTATTTTTTCTTAAAACTATGTATTGGCTTCAGAAATTGGAGAATGAGAGCATGGGTTTTCAGTAAATAGCAGAAACAAGAAAGTTGGACTGTACTTCTAGATCAGTGAATTCATGATCAAGAAGTCTTAGTTGAATCTTGCAGGTTTTAGCTGATAATAAATTTGCATTAGAAGTCCATCAGATACCTCAATAATTTTGAAGCAAAAGGCATGCTTTCTGTTTTGATACACTTGTGCTTACTATAGCAGAAGTCCCTCTCTTATGATGATGTACTTATTACAGTGTTTTAATCAAGATTAATTATTTAATTGACCATCTGAGACTTTAATCAAGATTAAAGATTTATTATTTAAACTTGACCCATTTATATTTCCTTAGGCACAAACCTCCTTACAATTTTTAGATGACAATGTTGCATAATTGAACTATTAGGTGATGCTAGTTTGCTTTTTTTTTTTTTAAGTATGAAATACGTCATGTATGGGGTTCTATTTCTCTCTTGAATTATAAATTAAATGTGGCAGTGATCATTTGTTCTTCAGGATTTGGGGACAATGAAGGTAAGGCAGATTTTACTGTGCTGGTTTGTACTAGCAGCATATGTTTCTCTCTCTCTCTTTCACAGATTCCCATCACTTTAGGTGTTTTTCTAAATTCCTATTATGATGTGAAATTTAGTTTTCTTGGAATGATATTTGCTGCTCTTGGTGTTATAGTGACATCTCTTTATCAAGTGGTGAGTTAAATATGGCCTTTTATTAAATGCAACCTTAGAGTATGTACTTTGTAAATTTATTCAACCTCTTCCTTTCTCTATTAATTTCAGATCTTCTGATCAGACAATGTTTGTTGTACATAGCTTTCTTGCTATTTAAATATGTATTGTTTACTGAAGATAAAACCACTTTCTGTTGGAAAGCAACAAGTAAATCTGTACATAAGTATATAAACTGTATTCTTCAGAGTAGACTGGCATATGCACTTTTGATTTCATCCCAACCTGGTGCCAATGTTTTTGGCCATGGCTTTCACCAGTCCTGACCATGGATGATGCTGTAATGGACTAATAGAGGGTTTAGTCCAAAATATTTGGAATATTATTAATATTTTAAATAGTTAATGATGAGAAGTGGTGTGTTAGAGTATTTTTTTAAGTATTGTAGGATTGTGTGGATCTACAGGGATGTGAAACTAGCTTATTCTCTTTCGTACTCCAACAAGAAACTGTGTGCATAAGGATGAAAAATTATGCTTGCAGCAAACTGCTGCATTGCAATGATATCAAATGTTCTGTCTGTGAATAGCATATTAGCACAATGATTTTGAACAGTCTTGATCACTGCCTCACCCCCGTTCATGTCCATCATTTTTTCCCATAATAGCTTTTTGTGAGAGAGAGAGATGACATTTCTTCTTTTTAGAATGGGAAGGGAGTTGAAAAGACTTTTCAAAGAGTAGCTGGAGGTTTTATGACTGACCATGAATTTTAAATTGGATTTCCTCAGGATAAATAAAAATAATTGATTTTTTTTTTAGTTTAAAATCATGTTTTCATTAAAGATATTTAAACAAAACAGTAAGTGTCTGTCTTTAGAAGACTTTGCATGTCTTACTGTGGGCTTCCTACTGACCTGGGGAGCAGCAAGTCATTACAGGTAGTCCTCGGGTTACGACCCTAATTGGGACCTACTTGCAGGCCCTTTGCTCACTCAGCCCAACGAAAGGCCAACAGCTTCCAGCACAAGCTGCAAGTTCTGGTTCTCCAGGAGCACTTGCAGTGGGTGTTAGAAGCTGATGGCCCTTCATGAGGCTTTGCAGGAGGAAGGCTGGGCTGAGCAAGCAGAGGGCCTGCGGGTAGACTCTTGTCAGTGCTGGGCTCGCCTCCACCCCTTGCTGAAGCCTGCAGGCCAGTTCTCCTGGAGTGCTTCCAATGCAAGCTGCAGAGCATGCACTGCACTCCAGAAAGCCCTCGTCCTCCGCTTCCTCCAGTTCTGCCACCACCCTGAACAGCGCCTCCCGCATAACTGCCACTTTGCCTGGGGAGCCACTGCTGCCTCTCCAGCCTCATCCGACAGTGGATTGCACTGTGTCTCACCATCCTGTCCCACTGCACTCTCCATGATCTGTGAGTTATTTCTCCTCATGCTGGCGGCAGAAGATGGGTCTCCTCCACCTGCACCACTGCCCTGCCTCCTCTGCTGGCTCCATCCCACTGCTTCCTCTCCAGCTGGGCCTGGCAAGCTCCCTTTGGCAGGCGGGGTTCTGCCGTGTGCATCCCAGGGCTGCACCCTCACCCAGTGCCTGGATCCAGTGGGAGGAAGAAGTGCCGAAGGTCAGCTAGGGGCGGTGGGGGGGTGCAGGGCAGAGATGAGAGGGGAGAGATGGAAGCTGCTAGCCCTTCAGCAGACAAGGCTCTGCCATGCTCGCCGTACACATCCCGGGGCTGCACCCTCACCCAGTGCCTGGATCCTGGGCCA